ACTTTCTTTCTAAAGATCATTTTGCATTGTACACTTTCAAAGGATGAATTTTTTGGCAGGTAAATCATAAATGTTAAAAGTTGTTGAAGAGGCTTAATCGTTTTGGGGTGTGTTACAGGAGGGGGTATCGATTTCTGGTACCGATAGGAACTGGAAACACAGGGAATCCAGGACAGATGAACCCTTCAGGACCAGTTGAAGCAATAATGGGAGTTTTTTCATAAACCCTTTAAAACCCTCTTGTGCATCCGGATTTACATTTGGAAATGATTGATTTGATTAGGGGGTGAAGAATCAACTGGGTATTGGAGCAGCTGCAGACGCATCCAGTGATTCTGAGGAAACAGAGTCCAGATCAACCAGACTTGCTAATGGGCTAGATTAGTAGGAAGCAGGGAGAGAGACCTGGTCTGAGTCTTGGACTCTGGCCATAGCAGCTTTGGTAGAATTAAGCCAGTGATTTGGTCACTTATTTGGCACATGCCTTAATAAACGAATAAATTAAAAATAGGATAATTTTGTAATCTAGATAGAAAAGGGCATCTTGTTTGGTAAAGTAGAGCCTCAGGAGAACCGTCAGCACAGGGATTGAAAGGATGACTGATCCCCACAGCGGGATCGAATATAGCACTGATTGTGAAGATGGAGCAAGACCAGGCTACATTTCTTTCCGCTCTACATAAGCTCGCCATGAGTTGGTGGGGACTCATGGAAAGTAACAACAGCAAGTACTTTAAAGAATCGACTTCTAATGGTAGACTGCAATTTTGTTATAACTCGTAGGGATAGAGTTGTCTTTATGATATTGATAGGAGAGTGTGATTGTTAGAAGATTAAAATATAATTTGCATGGGCTGGCTATGAGTTGGAATCCACTCAATGGCAGTGAGCTGGATTGGGTTGCAAGAGACTGATACACACACTTGTTTTCTACTTGCTTTATGTTGATTTTTTCCCATTGTGTGGTTTGAAGTACAGTTGGATTCCTTGGCCTCAGATGGTAATTCACTGATAATCTCATTATCTGTAGTCTCCCGAAGACTCGTGTGTCTCGTTCGCGCCAGTGGGTCTGTGAAGACAAGAAGCCACAGGGAACAGACTTGCTCCATGGCCCTCTTCTCTACGACAGTGTTCGAAAAGGAGTTGATGACTTCTGCAGATGGGCTACTGCCATTGTAAGTTAGAATCCCCACACGGCCGACTTTTAAAAGCCACTCCCAAAGTTGCTTTTATGGGGGGAAAAAGTCTTTGGATAAAATCCAAGTAAAATCAAAGGGATTAAAGTAGTCTTTGTCTCCCACAATGTATGGACAAACATGTTTTTGGTAGATGACACTTTACAGGCCTGCAGCCAATTGGAATGTTGTAACATCTCACTCACCGCACCCCTGTGGTTTCATAGCCTTGTTTTCCATCTCAGTGTCAAGACCCGTTTTCCATCCTTCACTGCTCCCGCCCCTCATTGTTCCCAGTTACCATGGCATATATGTACTTGGGTTGCTTTACTAGACGATAGCTCCTGCCAAAAATATTAATGAAACGAGGCCACTTTTGATTCGGCTCTTAAGGTCTTTCCTTGTTCTTGTCCCAGGCCTATTGCGTTATCTAGCCTTCTTCACTGGTTCCTGGAGAGGTCCAGAGTTTTTACATGTCTGGATGTGATGCTTTCTTTGGACTCAAGGCCTCTCAGTGTTTGCATCTCCCTCCTCTCCCAGTTTCTGAGTATTCATCAGTTTTAGTCCTTGTAGCAGTTAGGACTGCTTCACTGGCCAGTGCCTGAAACGCAGTTCAGGTTAAATGGAGTAAGTAAGATAAACACCCCGAGCTCC